CCTATCTATACCTTGTGGCTAATAGCCACTGATGGACCTCTGCTCCATATGCTTATCTAATTCCCTTTTGAAGCCGTCCATGCTTGTAGCCGCCACCACTTCCTGTGGCAGTGAATTCCATGTGTTAATCACTCTTTGGGTGAAGAAGTACTTCCTTTTATCCGTTCTAACCCAACCGGTCAGCAATTTCATGGAGTGCCCACGAGTTCTTGTATTGTGAGAAAGGGAGAAAAGTACCTCTTTCTCTACCTGCTCTTTCCCATGCATAATCTTATAAACCTCAATCATGTCACCCCTCAGTCGTCGTTTCTCCGAGCTAAAGAGCCCTAAGCGCTTTAACCTTTTCTCATAGGGAAAGTGTTCCAACCCTTTTATCATTCAAGTTGCCCTTTTCTGCACTTTTTCCAAAGCTATAATATCCTTTTTAAGGTGTGGTGACTAAGTGGGTCTACTCATCTGGTCTGTTCAGTAGGCGGCATACTCCCAGGAAAGTGTTCTTAGTGTTAGCCTGATTGCTCTGAGTTCTTATCAATATTGGGGAATATGAGTTATTATAAAATAGCAATAGGCAATAAGGGAACAAACTGTATATACAGAGGTCCGGCTTCTTCCAAAGATACCAGAAATAGACACGGAGACTGGCTTCAGTATAAAAATGGTTTATTTTTCCTGGAGATTCTTCACAAACAACCAATACACAAGCACACACACACAGTTACACAGCTTCTAAGAAAATTAGATAGACAATCAAGAGACGTTCACATGAGCAGGAGATCGTTGGGGGGGCGATATTAACCTATCTAATGAGATGATGTGTCCCAGTGGAAAAACAGGGGAGACTAATAAGAAATGAGAATTATGCTAGGAAATGGAAATTGTGCTCTGAACCAGCAGAAGCACGTGGAAATACCAGAAATAGACACGGAGACTGGCTTCAGTATAAAAATGGTTTATTTTTCCTGGAGATTCTTCACAAACAACCAATACACAAGCACACACACACAGTTACACAGCTTCTAAGAAAATTAGATAGACAATCAAGAGACGTTCACATGAGCAGGAGATCGTTGGGGGGGCGATATTAACCTATCTAATGAGATGATGTGTCCCAGTGGAAAAACAGGGGAGACTAATAAGAAATGAGAATTATGCTAGGAAATGGAAATTGTGCTCTGAACCAGCAGAAGCATGTGGAAGACTCTGGCTGCATTCCAAGAGGCTTAGAGAGGCAGGGTGGGTTTCAGGATAGCAAGAGCTAAAAGGCTAAAGAGCTAGAAAGGACGTAGAGAGGGCGTAGAGAGAGAGAGCACGTTGCTGGGTGCCCATTTTTGTATGGGGTCTCTGGGGGGAGGGCTTTGCTGGCCACTTCCCTTGAGACCACCCCTTCGTGGTCTGTTCCAAAAGTCACATCCGCAATGGGAAAAAGGACTTAAGGGGTTGGTCAATGCTGAATTCTAACCGAACTTGTGACAGAGACACCTCAAGGGTTGTGATGACTCATCGGCTAGCACCTATTGTGTTCTTTGTCTCAGGGCTGCAGAACCGGCTCCTGGAATGGATGAGGAAGGCCAAATCCTTTGTCAAGCAGAAGGCAGGAAAGAGTCTTTTGTGCCTTCGATGCAGAGAAGGTGTGGGTGGGGGGCTGCCAGCGTGATGAAGAAGGACTTCTTTAATGGCATCAGGAGTCCATAGTTTAAACAGCAATGGCAGATGGCTGTTTTGGAGTGTTCCATGTGTCTAGGGATACATCTGGAATGGGGCAACCTAGGGAACCATGGGCACATCGTCTTAGGCTTTTGCTGGCGCATGTCTGGCATCACAATCTGGTCACCTTACATCAGAGTCCCTTTTGCACATTTTATACATAGTCCATTTATGTCAATAAAAGTGTACAAAACTCCTTGCTGGGCAACATTAGGGTTGCTCTGTTATTCGCCTGTCCTAAGGCAGGACAGGTACTGTGGAGCGATGTTCACATCCTCTGAAGAGAAACTCCAAATATTGTGCCAGATTATGCTAATATGTCATATTATGCAAATCATATACAACTTCTAGATGTGCACATTTTGTACCTTTTTTCCCTAAAAGTATTTTTCATATTAAGTTTGATATTAGAATAAACTGTGAGATTTGCATCTGAAGCCCATTAAAGTGAAGGTTTATATACAGCACAAGTATAACTCAGAAAAAATCCATGCATATTTCTCTGCTTGCGTTATTTATTCTAAACTCCCATTCTCTGGGGTGAGGCCGTGACTTAGTGGCAGAGCATCCACTTTGCGTGCAGAAGGTCCCAAACTGAATCTCTGGCACTTCCAATTTTTTTAAAAAAGGATCTGGAGAAAGCACTCAGCTGGAGAATTGCTGCCTGTCAGAGTAGACAACACTGACCTTGATAGACCAATTCTCTGGCTCAAGATAAAGCAGCTTAGTTTGAATTTGGGTAGATCTTTAAAATGTTGGGAGTTTCCCCCCAGAGCAGCATAGTGGCAATAGGAGAATGGCAGGTGTGGTGTCTTCGGAAAAGACCTTTGTGAATCGCCACATTCACTTTCAATGTTAAGCTCAAGACAAGGAAGGCTCCTCCGAGCTAACTTACCATTGGTCGCTCCTCAAAAGCGACCAATCAGAACTGGACTAATTCCCTGCGAGGGAAGAATGCTCATTGGACTTTATCGGCACAACCTCATCGGTTGTTAATTGTAAGTAGGCGTGGCTACGTTAGCCCGGGAAGGTTTAAAAGGAGCCCAGCTCCCAATGTTAAACTGTTCTGGTTATGGCTTATTGCAAGTGCTTGTTTGTATCTACAATAAAGCTGTTCACTTTGTTGAAATCACTCTCCTGGATCTTTGTTAGCGGCAATCTAACAAGCAGGGGTGTTGGAAGGTGAATGGAGGCCATGAGGTGGGGACTTGTGAGTCTTATACAAAATGCTGGAACTCAGGAGTCTTCCTCTGGATTGTTTGCTAGCCTTTTTGACTAGCCCTGCTCCTGAACCCTGTAATGGCAGCCTGACATTCTTCAGTTTAGCAGAGAAAGCTTTTCCTGCAACTTATTTTCATACCACCCCCACTCCCAAGCTTCCCTTGCTTAACTTCTGCATGTCAGGTTTCTGCTACAGGCACAGATACAGGGCTACCCAAAAAAGTTGGCAACACAGCTCTTAAGGTAGACCCCAGGGGATTAGGCAAAACATTTAATGGTGAAAGAAGAGGATGATGTAATATAAAGTCTGGATAGCAAACTGGAATCCTTCCCCCACCATAAAGTAATATTTACACAACAGTATCATTTTACCTATGAAGCAGGTATTTATTATTCAAATAACTCTGACCATATAAGGGGATAGTTGCTGGTTGCATTCCAGCCAATGGGGGCAGAAGCAAGCTTGTTTGTTTGGGGCAGGAAAAATAAGCCTAGTTAGTGGAAAATTCCACTCTTATGATGTAAGATGTGACGTGTAACTGTTGCTGTATAAAAGTCTGGAGCCTGTGTTGTTCTGGGTTCAGTCTGTTTAAAGCGCTCTTCGCTGACTGAACCTTGCACCAATAAAGTTTCTTCTCCTCCTGTTGATCTGGTGGTCTTTGCTTGGGTTTAGGCCCCTTTCGCCATGCTACACCTATTATATCCTTATACACAGAGCCATACAGACAAAAGAATCCATCTCTCTATTGAATCAATAGGGTGTGTCTGGACTTGTTCATCTACTCACCGGGGGTCAGCCTCTGCCAAACCTGTGCTCATCTAGAGTGCCTGTCCAGCCCATTCTGATGCCAGTGCAGGCAGGAGTATTATTTGTTTAATACATTTTAATCCCACCCTTCTTCCAGGATGCTCAGGGAGGCACAACATTGTTTTCTCCCTCCTCCACTTTATCTTCACAGCAATAGCTCTGCCAGGGGGAGTGTAACTTGACCAAGGTCCTAGGGTTGCCAGCTCTGAGCTGGAAAATTCCTGGAGATTTGGGGGTTAGAGACTCACTCGGGAGGGCAAAGTTTGGTGAGGAGAGAGACCTTAGCAGGGTATAATGCCATCGAGTCCAGCGTCCAAGGCAACCATTTTCTCCAGGGGAACTGATCTTGGTTGTCTGGAGATCAATTGTAATAGCAGGAGATCCCC